GAAATCTGAGGATTGCAGTTTGAAGCCAGCCCAGGCAGGAAAGTCCATGATACTCTTATCTCCAATTTATCATCAGAAAACCTGAAGTGGTGCTGAGGCTCAAAGTGGTCCCTTGAGGGAGAAAGCTCAGGGACAGCACCTAGGCTGAGTTCAAGCCTCATGACCTATAGGAAGCAAGGAAGGAAGGAAGGAAGGAAGGAAGGAAGGAAGGAAGGAAGGAAGGAAGGGAGGGAGGGAGGGAGGGAGGGAGGGAGGGAAGGAAGGAGGGAAGGAGGGGAAAGAGAGAAAGAGAAAGAAAGAAAGAAAGAAAGAAAGAAAGAAAGGAAGGAAAGAAAGGAAGGAAAGAAGGATGAGAAGAACAGATAAAAATCCTCACAATAGATTCGATTTAGGAGATAGATTGGTAAACACAATGAGAAAATCAATAAATATAAACATGCTATATTAGAGGTGAAAGCTAAAGAAAAAAAATAAGAGAAAGCAGAGCCACAAAGTGTTGGGGCTAAGGAAAAGTACAAACAGAACAACAAAGGACTTAAGAGCTATGACATAGAAAAGTGACTCAGAGCCGGGTGCCGGTGGCTCACACCTGTAATCCTCAGGAAACAGATCTGAGGATCATGGTTCAAAGCCAGCCCAGGCAGGAAAGACATATGAGACTCTTATCTCCAATAAACCACCAGAGAACTGAAAGTGGTGCTGTGCTGTGGCTCAAGTGGTAGAGTGCTGGAGGAGGAGGAGGAGGAGGAGGAGGAGGACGAGGACGAGGACGAGGACGAGGACGAGGACGAGGAGGAAAAGAAAGAGAGAGAGAGAGAAAGAAAAGTGACTCAGAGCTGGCACTGGTGGCTCACGCCTGTAATCCTCGAGACTTAGAAAACTGGGATCTGAGGATCAAGGTTCAAAGCCAGCCCGGGCAGGAAAGTCTGTGAATTTTTTTTTTTTGTCGGTCGTGGGGTTTGAACTCTGGGCCTGGGCGCTGTCCCTCACCTCTTCAGCTCAGGGCTAGAGCTCTACCACTTGAGTCACAGTGCCACTTCCGGTTTTCTGGTGCTTTATTGGAGATAAGAGTCTCACGACTTTCCCGGCCAGGCTGGCTTTGAACTGTGATCCTCAGATCTCAGCTTCCTGAGTAGCTAGGATTACAGGCGTGAGCCAATAGCACCCGGCTGTGAATTCTTATCTCCAATAAACCACCAGAAAACTGGAAGTAGCACTGTTGCTCAAGTGGTAGAGTGCTAGCCTTGAGCTGAAGAGCTGAGGGACAACACTCAGACCCAGAGTTCAAGCTCCACGACTAATAGCTTCTCTGTGGCTCAGTTTTTTTCACCTGTAAAGAAGCTTTTGTTTTGTGTTTTGGTATGTATGCTACAGGACTGGAGCTTGCACTCAGAGCCTCTTATTCTTACTCAGCTTTTTTAGTCACAACTGGTGCTCTAGCACTTGTGCCAGATCTCTACTTCCCACTCCTTTCAGGTTAACTGGATTTTTCTGCCTGCGCTGGTTTAGAACCTCAATCTTCAGATCTCAGCCTCCTGAGTAGCTATAATTATACATATATAATTATATAACTATATTTTAGCTGGTACTCAGCTAAAATGAAAAAAAAATGTAGTGAAAGACCAGTTGTTATAGTTGGGAAGGTGGCTCAGTGGAAGAGTGCTTGCCTTACATGCACAAGGCCCTGGGTTCGATTCCTCAGCACCACATAATCAGAAAAAGCTGGAAATGGTGCTGTGGCTCAAGTGGTAGAGCACTAGCCTTCAGCTGAAGAGCTGAGGGACAGCGCCCAGGCCCAGAGTTCAGGCCCTACGACCAAAAAAAAAAAAAAAAGACCAGTTGATTTTTTTGTGCTGGTCTTCAGGGCTTGAACTCAGGGCCTGGATATTGTTCCTGAGTTTCTTAGGCTCAAATCTAGCACTCTATCACTTGAGCCACAACACTACTTACAGCTTTTTCTGAGTAGTTTATTGAAGATAAAAGTCTCACAGACTTTCCTGCCTCAGCTGGCTTCAAACTGCAATCCTCAGATCTCAGTCTCCTGAGTAGCTAGGATTACAGGTGTGCTGCACCAGCACCTCGTAGACCCAGGCTTTTATCACTTTTAAACTATGGGATTTTTGAGTGCTGACAGACTTCTATCAAACTGTATTCAGGCTATTCTTAACTTCTTTCTCAACTATGTCCTAACTTTTGGACTTCTATCTGTACACTATTCAGGTTTAATAACTCTTCCAAGTCACTTTAGCCCAAATATCCTCTCACCTCTGATGTTTACCTTATTTTTTGCCCACTGACGTAACATGATTAATCCTTGGCTGTAAATTTCTTTTCCTTGTACTTGAAGTTAAGATTGACTTCTCTTCCCTACCAATTATCGCTGTCCATATGTATCAATCACTACAGTTTCCTTGAATTAGTCTCGAATTAGTGTCATATCCTCAAAGTTCCTTATCTGTAAAATTAAAAGGCTTGTCCAGACTGTTCAAAACTTTTTTGGAAAATGTGAAGTCACTAAAATATGTGAAAAAGGCCCAGCAATGCACACCTGTGATACCAGGATTCAGGAAGCTGAAGCCGGAGGATTGAGACTTCCAGACTGGGCTACAGAGCAAGAAGACCCTGAATCAATGTGGGAAAAAGTGAAAATATCTTAAAATATATAAACCATTCTGTAGTATAAGATGAAAATGAAAACACCCACACAGGCATTTCAAAGACTGCAAATCTCTTACTAATGGTCAGTAGAGCCTTAGGACTCCAGGAGTAAACCATCAATTAAATAACTGTTTGTACTAAGTCCCTCAGTATTGGCAGGGAAAAGGCAATGCAAATTAGCAGGATGTACTCAGTAAAAGTAGCAATCTTATCTCAGATCAGGGATAAAACAATCAAACCAAATGTTCCTAAGTGGATACCTCATAAAATAATTATTATGGGGCATTAGTCAAATTTAAAAATGTTTAACAACTCCTTTATATTTGTTCTTGTAGAACTTCAGTTCCAGGAAAAGGACTAGATGGACTTAATGGAGTTAAAAAAAAAAAAAAAGCCCAGCCAGCCCAGTGGCTCCTGGGTGGCTCATGCCTGTAATTATAGTTCCTCAGGAGGCTGAGATCAGAGGATCATGCTTCAAAAATCAACATTGGGCAGATAAATCTGAGAGACTCTTAGATCCAATTAACTAGCAACAAGCCAAATATGGAGGTGTGGCTCAATTGGCAGAGAACCAGCCTTGAGCAAAAAAAGCTAAGTAAAAGAATGAGGCCCTGAGTTCAAGACCCAAATACCTGCACACACACACACACACACACACACACACACACACACGGATGTTCATTTAGATTTCTAAGGTCAGGTAGATCACATTTCTGGGTATTTCTGCTGATGCTCAAAAAAGATTAATCAAAGTAGATGATTACAAGCATAGACTATTGTGTAATCCTTGGTTTTGTTTCATTGTTTTTAAGAGGTAGAGTCTGGGCTATGTTTCTCAGAATGACTTCCATCTCTTGGGATCAAGCCATCCTTCTGCCTCAACCTCTCCAAGTAGCTGGGACTATCTGTGCTCACCACTGGGCCTAACTTATATTACTTATTTTCATATATTTTTCAGCTCCTTTTTTTTTTTTTTTGTGGTCGTGGGGCTTGAACTCTGGACCTGGGCACTGTCCTCAGCTCTTCAGCTCAAGGCTAGTGCTTAGCACTACCACTTGAGCCACAGCGCCACTTCTGCATAAGAGTCTCATGGATTTTTATGCCCAGACTGGCTTTGAACTGTGATCCTCAGGTCTCAGCTTCCTGAGTAGGTAGGATTACAGGTGTGAGCCCCCAGCACCGAGCCTACCAGCACCGAACCTATTCTTCAACTTTTATCTATGGTAATAGCATCTCAATAATGATTTGCTAAACATGTGTAATAGACATGCATAATATAGTGTCAACACACCATGTATACTAACCATTGATGAAGGAATGCATGATTACAATGCAAATTTGCTTACTATACACTAACCTATTTGAATCACAAATGATGCATTTGAAACACACTTGTCTTCCCTGACAATAGTAACCTGGTAAATTGTATGTTATGTCCATCTGTCAGACTGGGTTGAAACATGGTATTTTATTCAACTTAAATACAAAATTAAATTTTTCTCAAATATAACCTGGTATAGAAGACACTCGATGTTACACAAATAAAATTCCACAAAGGGTGAACAAATGTAGCAGTGGTACTCATTAGACACTGTTGAAAAATGAACTATCCAACTTGTGGGTGATGATGGGAGGGAAAAACTAAGAAAGAGCAAGGGAAAGGGTGACATTGTCCAACAAGAAATGTACTCATTACCTGATTTATATAACTGTAATCCCTCTGCACATCACCTTTATAATAATAATTACATATTAAAATAAGATTCCCAAAGTGTTACTCCAGCCTGAATTCCAAGGACAGGGGTGTGAACTAGATGCCTGGCATTTGTTCACCTGGTGACCTCTGTATCGTCTTCTCTGAGATACTGGCCCACATAAGCTAAGAACCACGTTAAATTTTTCCTGGAAACTTTCCTCTAAGTCTTTAAGTACGCCAGCAGGGCAGCCTACCTCCTCCTCCGCGCCCAGTCCCCGGGCGGGCGGGCGGGCTCAGCAAAGGGCCTTGTGGCCGTTCCCTATTGGGCCCTGGTTGCTATGGTATCACGGGCCTTAAAAATCTCACAGGTCCAACTTCCGGGGGTTAAATGGGGAATTACTTCCAGGTCTGCCCATACTTGCCATGGCTGCCTCCAACGTTTTTAACCGCCACAGAAACAAAAGTTTAGCAGTAAAATCCTGGTCCACCTACGGCAGCCACTTAAACTCGTCGTTGTCACTGGGCACCGTATCCTTTCTCCACCTTGAAACGATCTGCTATAAATTCTTCGCCTATTAGCCAATCTCCAAAATGGCGCCGACGGCATCGAGAGGTCAGAGGTGAGTCACGTGGGACCTCTCGGTTCCGGCGTGGTAGAGGCCCCGGGTGGAGAACAAGTGTCCGGCACCATGTCTGGTTTGTCCGGCCCACTGGCCCGGCTTTGCCCTCGCCAGTTGGCGTTGCTGTTTCTCTTCCTGCTTGGCCCTAGCTCGATCCTCGCCATCTCCTTCCATCTGCCCATTAACTCTCGCAAGTGTCTCCGGGAAGAGATCCACAAGGACCTGTTAGTGACGGGCGCCTACGAGATCACCGACCAGTCTGGGGGCGCTGGAGGCCTGCGCACCCACCTCAAGGTGCGGCTCCGGGCGGCGCGGGGCGGGCGGG